GTCCACCGTTTCATTTTGCCACAAGCCTGCATGCCCTTTCACCCAACACAATGCCCCCCTTTTTCCCATGATTTTTGTCTCAAGCATTTTCCTACAGATTTGGGCAAAAATATAGTTTCTGCATTTATATTCTGGGGTAATGTTATTTACAATCCATCCCTAAACGTTGAAGATTTCAAGAAACTACATATTTCAAATAGTGAAATGTACCTTTGCAAAACTGTTTCAGTGGTTGAACAGTTTGAATTTTTTTTTTCTTTGTAAAAGCTCACTATTTTTTCAGCTTGTAATTTGTACTGATCGTGTCAATTTAAATTACCTTTCTTTTAAATGCATTTATAAAAAATAATAATAATACAAGGGGCGTCGGTGGCTGCAACGGTTTAGGCGTTGATACGGCGCTCATCACTGTAAGGTAAAGGTCCCGGGTTCGAATCCAGTGGCCCTGCATTCGAACCCGACATACTTACAGATTTTTTTTTTTTTTTTTAAACAAAAACACCGGTACCCCGAGGCATATAACCTCTGCTGTTGCGAACCCTCGTAAAAAATAAATAAATAAATAATACAAGCATTTAAATAGGTCGGAAGCCAAAAAGTAGGGTGATTGAGAACATTCCTATGATTCATTCTAATACCATTCTAATAAAAACCAGTTTATATAACAAAATACATTGATGCAATAAAAAATAACTTAAGTAAAATATGAAATTCTTTTATTACACGTTAATTAAATTTTTCTTATTTAAAATGGAAATAATTTTTACACACTACAATAAATATGATAAAGCTAATTTATTCCACAATTCATGAGGAGACGATTAACAATAAAATTTAAAACTTAATTACCTATTGGCACTTATTTTTACTTTGTTCTTTTTTCAATAAATTTATCAATGTTATTAATATGTAATTGTGAATATATGAAGAAACATAATCGATAAATATTCTACTATTATCTGTAGCAAAAAATGAAAATAAAATAACATAAAAATAATTTTATTTTTTTCTATGGTGCGTCGAAATCACTCAACTATATTTTTACGTAGAATAAGCATATGTGAATCAAATTTGAACGCAACTAACGTATATAATATACGTATGAAAAACTGAAAAACTTTTAGGCACTTGATTTTTTCAATCATAAAAAATTTCTGATCTTAATTTTTCTCTTTTTTTAAAGAGTTTATACTGCTGATGGTGGTTGCTGGTCGGTGAGTCGGTGACGCATGCTTGACCGCCATAGGGTCATTTAATGGGTCCGTCTTCACTCGCGGGTTTCAAACACGTTTCGGCCTTGCGCCATCTTCATCTACGAATAGTGTTTCTGTTGCCGAAATGTGTTTGGGTAATTCAACAAATTTAATGAAGACAGACCAAATACAAACTATATGCCTGTTCAACCATGGTTTATGGTGTGTTCAATGCTGTTTATGCTGTATTCTATCTAACAACAACAGTAACAAGTAACAAATAAATATAAATTGCTAAGAAAATGTAAAAAAGAAATATGATGAACTTGTCTAAGAGGATTAAATTAGATTAAATTCAAAATTGAAATTAAACACATGCACAAATCTTAAACAATCGATTTGATCAAAACTGAAGTAGAAGTTAATAAAAATTCGAAATTTTATTAAACGTAAACACAAACAAACGAGCGACCTCGTAAGCCTTTACACAATGTGTGTGGGTGGAAGGAATTTTGGCAAAGTAAAGACGCCAAAAGAACCCGGAGATCATTGGAAAACCGAAAGCTCTGATTCACTTTATAAATAAGATTAGAAGGTGAGCTAAGCCCTTTTCCTAGAGGGAGCTTAAATATTGCAAGTAGTCCGAGCTTAGATTACAAGATTAGATGTTGCCCGCCAGAGCGACATGTTGAAAAAGAAGAGCGTCGACTTTTTATTCCAAATATCACGACGGTCTCCCGACACTTGTCCTTTCTTCTTATTTCCATTAAAAATGGAAACTTATGACTCTGTTCTTATCTCCGACCACTCGCTACGAGCCTGGGTAAACAAAACGAGCATGGATTTTGTAATAAGACTCGGCCCTGGATATTTATGAATACAACTTGTTAGGTTAGGGGTTCATCAGATGACATTGGGGAAACAAACTGTACACGAACACGTTCATAGTTAACCTGTTGTTCTTAAATCTCCCAGAAAAGTAAACAACGAAAGGCAACCGTAAAGTTAATGGCTATTGGGGTGAAATTTAGGGTGGAATTAGCTTTATTTTCACCCCGGATGAGTCAGCCGTAGAAAATACAATAACGCTTTTGTGGAAACGCATCGGCCCGAGTTCGCAACGAGGGCCATTATTCCCGGTTGCTCGGTTGCAGAGGGACACGGAGGCAGTAAAACCGATCCCTGGGCGATCATGAATCAGCGGCTCACGGCATCCCAAAGGAGGCCCGGGTTGAGGAGAGCACAAAAGGACAGGGTGGTTCTACAAAACGCTCGGGGGAGGATTAAACTAGAATATCCCAACAATCTTGCCCTACTCAAACGGTTTTCTATTCATGATTCAAATAAACTTTAAAACGTGACAACATCCCAGAACTTTATATAATACATTGTGTATTTTTCAAAACTCGTCGATAGTTTGGCAGGAATGTTAAGTTAGTTATGCAACAACACTTACAAAACCGAAGAGTAAAAGCCCTGCCATCCTGCATTGCTTTTAACACTTTTCAAAGTATGCCGCCATAACCTGTTTATCCGATAACGATGAATGCTTGATACTGAAGAAAACGAATCGAAGTTAAGTGTAAGACCAGAAGAAAATGGAAGACCTGTCTAATATTTTACTTTATGAATTCGAATAAGGCACATTAAGAAAAGAGTCTGAAGTCCTTTTTAAAAAGATGGTTCCTACTCACATTAAGTTGTTTCGCAACAATCCGGATTTCGAGCCCTTTAGCTCATCGTCAGGTTGAAGGGTTTCTACAAACACGTCTCTCGACATGAATTGCAGAAGAGAACCCGCTGATACCCCCGCCAACGCGACGTTCCAATGAGGAGCTGGGTTTTTAATGGCGCTCAATTTGAACGTGCGAAAAGCGGGAATTATAACACAAATAACTATTGTAATAGTAAATACTGTAAGAAATTAATTTGTAAATTAGTGATTAAAGATAAAAGATCAAAAAAATTAGAATAATACCTTAATATTATTAAATTGTTATAAAAATAATAACAATTAAAATAATTAGTTTAATTATTTGGACGTTTAATATTATTTATATACATATTTAAAATGGGAGGGAAATAAAAACGAGAGTAAAAAAAACACTTGCCTAAGTCGAACAAATTTTCGTAATTTAAGGACCATCTAAAAGAAACAAAACATAATTTCAATTCAAATTTAAATACAACAGTGTTACATAGTTTCAACAAAGGGAAAGAATCAAATTGGTTTGAAAAATTTGAAATTAAAAAATGTAAATTAAAAAAATTAAAAAATTGAACATGGTGATAAATGCATTAATAATATAACAGATTTTGATCTACCTCACATTTTAAATATGTATATAAATAATATTAAATATCCAAATAATTAAACTAATTGAAAATTATAGTGAAAATTTTGCAGAAAGTAGTATGAGATAGTAGTAAGTGGAAGAAAGGATGCCGTTTAATATGAACAGCAAACCAGAGTGCCAAATTCCATCAAAAGCTTGGCTTACGTCAAGATAGGTCCCAGAGCACTACTGCCCCAACTCAAAAGAAGAGGAGAGGTCTACCTCACTATGTTCGATAGTTGAATGGCAGTTGCGAAAGCTAAATTGATGGTCGGGGATTATATTTTGAGAATTTAAGTTTGGAAGAACTTCATAGAATTCAATTATTAATAAGTCCATTATGTTTAGTTGTCTATTGACCAAATTACTTCTTTCAATTAAATATTCTTTTTATGTAAGGTCTTGGTCGAGATGAAAAAGTTAGTGTCACCAGCGGGATTGGAGCCTACGTTCTTCATCTCAATACGCCGCTGCTTTAGTCACTTGAGCCATCGTGACTTCACGTTAAGGTCGTGGGTTCGAATCCCGCTCGTGACACTAACTTTTTCATCTCAACCAAGACCTTACATAAAAATAATAATTACTTATAATGTAAATTTTTCGGTGGCAGTCTTTATTTCATGGTGTGTCTTAAGGGGGGGTCAGTGTAGTAATGGATTGATGGATAACAGTAATGGATGGAAATGGGAGTGCGATATGTGTGTAGTTAGTGATTGAATTCATTTTTTGATAAACACAAACAGATACACTTTATACACTAAAATTAACAGTGTTAAAATCAAGAAATAAAAATTCAGTATGCATTGACAAAATAAGCTTCAGCTGATAACCGATAATACAATTCGACTTCACATTTTACTTTAAAACTTAAAACACACTAAACCTAAAATATGTCTTTACCTGAACATTTCTAAGTTTCTCTAGACTTTACAATCAGGCTCAATCAAGACCTTACATAAAAAGAATAATTACTTATAATGTAAATTTTTTTTTGCTTTGTTTTGGAATATTCTGCAAGAGTACGGACCTATGAAATATCAAATTCCATTTTTTAGCATGACTAGAAATTCATAAAGCAATAAATACATAACAAGTAACGAGAGCAATAAAGATTGATCGACACAATAAGTACTAAGAATAAAAAATTTCGGTGCGAAAACAGCAAAGGAAAACAACAACATGAATAAATAAAGGTGCAGACCTACCAAATAACAAATTACATTTTGACAAAACTAACAATTTGAAGACACAAACTAATAAATAAATAACAAGTAACAGATGCAATAATGAACTATCAACTAACTACAATAAATACTACAGAATAAATACAGATCAAACGCTCGGGAAGCTAATAGCCGTCCTACGAGGAGGGGATCTCCGCCGGCCGCAGAAAGCCATCCCCGGGGAGGCTCTCGTCCAAATGTAAATTTTTCGGTGGCAGTCTTTATTTCATGGTGGGTCTTAAGGGGGGGGGGTCAGTGTAGTAGATTGATGGATAAAAGTAATGGATGGAAATGGGAGTGCGATATGTGTGTAGTTAGTGATTGAATTCATTTTTTGATAAACACAGACAGATACACTTTATACACTAAAATTAACAGTGTTAAAATCAAGAAATAAAAATTCAGTATGCATTGACAAAATAAGCTTCAGCTGATAACCGATAATACAATTCGACTTCACATTTTACTTTAAAACTAAAAACACACTAAACCTAAAACATGTCTTTACCTGAACATTTCTAAGTGTCTTTAGACTTTTCAATCAGGCCCAGTTGTCAGCATGCGCAAGGTGGCATCGGCGTGTTTCCCTTGCTGCGTAAAAGCATCCGACCAGGAATCGGACGTCGGAAGCTACTTCGAGTATGTCGTCCACAACCACTACATATACAAGATGAAAATACCGAAGCCCGACAAGCAGACAAGAGGCGATAGACAGATATTTCGAAGAAGGAAAAGAAGAGGTAAATATTAAGTTTTGGTTGTACGGAAAAATGATTAACTGGAAAAATGGAATTGTATGGAAGAATACTTCTCGTCTTAGGTTGGCTAATATAATTATTAAATTATTGTAATTAGTGTTATGTATGCAGGACGATCCTCTTACATACTTCTGAAATAGCGTAAAAAGAAAAATCTTATAAATTTATAACAATGTATAATTAATTATGCGTCAACAAAATTTCTTTCTTAGTTCGTTTAGTAATTTCCGTTTTTTTTCTGACTTGATGAATTTAACGTGTAATTATGATTTTAGGTATCCATCCAGATTACAGTCGGTCTAATACGGAGGGTGATCTCCGTATTGTGAAAGGCTCGGCCAGTGTGAGGGACTATAAACGCAGATCTTATCCAAAAGACGTATACGGCGAACCAAAAGAGTTTTCCAGCGAAGATGAAGGCGATTGGGAAGGTGATCGTTTTTCAAATAATGAAAGAAGCTACTCGGCCGCAGACGTGCCGAAGTATTCAGCTACAACGTCGCCGTATTGCAATGAAGATTCACTCACTCCTGGAGATCAAACGCACGACTCCAACTCGGCGTCAGATCGTTCCGACTCTTCCAAGCACATCCCACGTTACAAAGATGGCCCCGATGTTAGAAAGAAAAATAAGAAGAACAATTTCACTAGTGTGAGCATTGCAGATGCTTCCGGTAACAAAACACTTCTTAGACGCATTTGACATGTGACAAGTAAACAAATGAATACACATATTTTGTATTTTCTTCCTATTTGATATTAAAATGTGGAACAAACATTGAACAATATCTTTCAATTAATTAAGGCTTTTAGTTGAGATAAAAAAGTCAGTGTCACGGGCGGGATTCGAACCCACGATCTTCGGCTCTACCACGAGTTATCGTGACCTCGATCCATTCGGTTCGAATCCCGCTCGTGATGCTGACTTTATCTTAACTAAAAACCTTAATTAATTGGAAGATCTTAATTGGTCAAGCGGACCACAAAAACTAGTGACTTGAACAATATATTCATCTGACTTTTATCACGGTCATATATATATATACGTAGTAATATAAGTTTAACATTTTTAAGTATGAAGCGTTCTATGTGTATAATTGTCTCTAAATTATAATGTAAATGCAATTAATTATATTGATGATGTAAGGTTTGGTTGAGTCAATAAAATACTTGGGGATTCGAACTCACGACCTTCGGCTCAATACGCCGCTGCTCTAACCACCTGAGCCATCGTGATTTCCATCCATTCGGATACCAAATCTTCATCTCAACCTATCGCCTTTCGAATTTTCCATCTTTTTGCCATATTTTCAAATATCGTGTATTCAGGATTCGATTCTCGGTGACTTAAAAAGTACCAGCAAGGATCTGCTAGCGAAGGAAGTACTTCTTTAATTATTATATTAAAACATATATATGTGTTTAGTAGATAAAGATTGGTTGATTAATTCCGGGGATTTTCTATTCATAGACTGGTATTAATGATATACACTGATAGACAAAAATAAACGCACCAGCCTTTCATTATCATGCATTTAGGTTTACTCACATTTCGCATACCAAACATTTTTCCCCTTTAATACCGAGTACCTCTGGGACGAATCAAGTCCGTTAAACGCCTTTGCATTCCTTGGAAAAGATTTCTGATACAATCCTGAGGAATTCTTTCCCATTCATCACGAACAGCCGTTTCCAACACATCTAGGGTGTCATGACCTGGGTTTCGCCGTCGTACTCGTCGTTTTAGTCCGTCCTAGAGACGGGAAAGATGTTCCTATTGAAACAGTTCTTTTTATTGAACTAGTTATATATACGTTATATATATTAGTTATATATATATTTATACCTCTGTTATAGGTGATCGATAAGGCCGTGCAATGTATATAAAGGTTTCATTTCTCAGTGCAACGTAAAACAGAGAGACCTGGTACATGACTTTTATTTTGACATTTCTCATAATGAATATACCAATGATGAATTAAATACTAATATAAAGCAACGTATTACGAAAATGAAAACAAAAATAATTTTAATTTATGGTTTTAAACTGAGAATTAATCTACTCTCAAGTCCCTTGAACTGTTACTTATGTGAGAGTGAACTATTTTCAACCTACAAGTAGCGGCATCTGTGGAATGATTTATCTTGTTAAAACTGTGGATGTGGTTAATCCCCAGGCTTTTATAAAGATCTGAACCATAGACTTTACTGTGGAAATGTGTCCTGAACAGACGAATTGTGGAATTCCATATCTTGCTTAGTGCATTTTAGTGATAACTTGATGGTTAACTTTTGGTAGCTTTTCCGGTGTGATCCAATGGTTTTAGTATCAATATATAAATTAATACGTACCTTTCCGAACCTCTGCACGTATAAGTTTTACAAGAATGTTGTAGATGTAATTTTTTCAGGGTATGGCATACTGCGCCCTTTGAGGGCTATTGTATCCCCCGTTCTCTGCCTAAAGCACATCGGTGAGTCCTATTTCATCAAAAAACTTGATTAATAGGCCCGGTTTTAATGGTTGAAGCTCTTCTATGGTCACATTATACATCCCAAAACATTTCCTCCTGCGGTCTAATGTAGCTCCGCAGTTTGTTAGTAAATGTGTTGGTGTCTCTTCTGCCTCCTTGCAGAATCTACATGTGCCATCTTGGATTGTTCCAATTTTCTTTAGGTGTCCATTTAATCTACAGTGTCCTGTTAGAAATCCTGTTAGGATTCGCAGTCTGTTCCTGCTTCCTTTGACACATTCTGTGATTTCTTTCTTGCCAAAATTGGTTAGAAGATTCTTGGATTGTCTATGTCCAATGAGTGAATTCCATTGTTCCTTCATTTTCTTTTTGTCCTTCTGTCTGAGACATTTGTTAATAGTGTGGATTCCTATGCCACAGAAGGGTTCGGGTCCTATCAGCGGTGTGGCAGCTCCTTTCCTTGCAAGGGTGTCCGCTTTCTCATTGCCTTCTACTCCCATGTGTCCTGGGACCCAGCAGAGGCTGACTTTATTCTGCGTACCTAGTGTGTTTAATTTGTTTTTGCAGTTCAGCACCATCCTTGAACTAATGATACTTGAGCTTAGTGCTTTGATGGCTGTTTGAATATCTGACATGATAGCTATATTCTTATTTTTGTATCGTTTACTTAGATTGAATTGGATACATCTTTCAATTGCGTGAATCTCAGCTTGGAAGATACTGGTGTGCTTTCCCATGGGTTCTGAGTATTTGGTTCCGGGTCCAAATACTCCTGCCTCCGTACCTTCTTGTGTTCTAGATCCATCTGTGTACCAAAGGATGGTGCCATTTTTAAAGGAGTTATTTCCCTTTCCTTCCCATTCCTTTTTGGTGCCCAGATATATTCGGAATTTTTGGTTAAATTCAAACATCCTGTTCATGTCGTCTCTTGGAGCCATGAGTGATGGATGGTCTTTCCACAGTTTGTTTCTATCTCTCCGTTTCAGTTGTATTCCTGTTGGAGGTTTCTCTCTGATAAAGTTGATTGTGGTTTTTTGTACTGTCCTTTCTACCATGTGATGTAGGGGGATTAGTCCTAATATCTTTTCGACAATGTTTAAATTACCTTATTGTTGACACTATAACGCTGCCACCAGGTTTTGAGGTGTATCACAAAAAGCAAAGTGGTAAAATATTTTAGGTTTTTTTCCCCGGGTAAACAATAACAGTGCAGAGGCCAGATCAGGATAATAGGGCTTACCTTAGCTTCTTTAATTTTATCACAGCTTGTATTGAAACATGAGGTTGGCTGTTATCGTGCAGCAGGCTCCCTAGTAACATTTCTGTTAACAGGTCTGTTTATTAATTTATTATTATTAGATTCAGTTTCGGTTAATTTGTTGGCAGCTCGTGTTTAAATTGGTTTGACTTTGTAACTCTGTGGAAAAAATATTAGGGTTCTGCTTGTGTGAAAGACTCATAGACATATGACTACTGATGTGAACAGCGTCGATCGCCATGAAAGAGCCATTCTTCGACTATCTAGAAAAGAAATGCATCTTTTTTATATAACCAGAGAAATGCAAATTACTAAAAATTGGCTACTGAGGTGCGATTAGCCATACCGGGCCCCACGTGAACTTTTTAACTTTAACTGTCTTCTAGCGAACTTAAACTTTTGATTATGAAATTTGAATGATTACACCAAGACGAATAGGAACAAGTATCTAGTTGTTATTCCCACCTTACCTAGTATAAGTTATGGGCTGTGGTAGATAAGCTAGTAGTTGTATCGTAGTTGAATTGTTAGATGACCCCGCGAACGGTTTGTTCCATTTCCCACTGTTGGCATGCAATTTCGGACACTTCCCCGCCAACAAAAGAAATTCTGTTCATTCATCGACGTATTCTGGTTAATATGTATAAAACTAATAGTGATTTTTATCACGTGTACTCTAGGCGTTTAAACTGCTAAATCATTTCGAAATTAAATTTCATTTAATGTCCATAATAAACAACCTAGTTGAAATAGATGTATATAGAAAACCCACAACTACAGACACTATGATACCAGCGGATTCTTCCCACCCATGGTCCCAAAAGGCTGCTGGTTTCATTTGGCTCATAGACCGGATGTTAAAACTTCCGCTAACACCTGATAACTATAAAAAAGAATTAAAAACTATTAAAACCTTAGCAAAAAACAACGGGTATCAAGAAATATTTATTGATAGGTTGCTAGTTAAAAGAATAAAAAAATTAACTTTAAACGAATCAACAATAGGACTCAGTCACCCCACCACAAATGAATCATTAGGTTTCCGTTGTTTGCCATACATTGGTGAATTATCGGAAAAAGTTAGTAAAATTTTTAAACAAGAAGGTTTTAGAATAGCTTTTAGAAGTACGGGTTCACTTAAAAACATCCTCTCAAAACCTAAAGACAAAGTAGACAACTTGGCAAAAAGTGGGGTTTACCAACTCAATTGTAATGATTGTGATATTAAATATATAGGACAAAGCGGTAGAGAAATAAAAACAAGAGTAAAAGAACACTTGCCTAAATCGAGCAAATTTTCGGAATTTAAGGACCATCTAAAAGAAACAAAACATAATTTCAATTCAAATTTAAATACAAGAGTGTTACATAGTTTCAACAAAGGGAAAGAACTAGATTGGTTTGAGAAATTTGAAATTAAAAAATGTAAAATTGAACATGGTGATAAATGCATTAATAATATAACAGATTTTGATCTACCTCCCATTTTAAATATGTACATAAATAATATCAAACATCCAAATAATTAATTTAATTATTTTAATTGTTATTATTTTTATAGTAATTTATAGTAATATTAAGTATTTATTATTCTAATATTTATTTGTGTTATAATTTCCACGCTTCGCACGTTCAAATTGAGCGTCATAAAAAAAATCAGGTGATAATTGGAACGTCGCGTTGGCGGAGGTATCAGCGGTTCATTTTGGCAATTCATGTCGAGAGACGTGGTTGTGGAATTCCTTCAACCTGATGATGAGCTAAAAGGCTCGAAATCCGGATCGTTGCAAAACAACTTACTGTGAGTAGGAACTATCCTTTTAAAAAGTATTAAACACCACACTCACTCCATCATTTATCATTTCTATTAAATTTCATTAACTTTGATACCATTGATTTCAAAATTGTGAATCGATGTTTATGTTAAATGACTTTTTAAATTAATACTTAACATCTTTCTATTAATTAAGATTTTTAGTTGAGATAGAAAAGTCAGTGTCAC